CCCCACGCACGGAGGTGCCCGAGAGCCGCCCTGTCTGCCGGGCTGTGCTCTGCATCGCCGGCTGTTGCCTAAATATAAACAGGGAAGAAGGATCAAATCTGGATTTAGCTTTGTATTTGTCGGTCTCCAGCAGAAGTGTTAACACTTGTGTTTCTCCACGGCTGCATACCAGGCCCCTTAGCTAACGCCCGCTGCTGTGTGCACCAGAGGGACGGATCGGCCTCCCCCTGCCCCGTTGTTAATCCCTGTGGTGTTAGTCTCTGCTCAGAACTGGTTTCCCTCAAAACACTCAACCCCGCTGCAATCCTCGTCCATCCCATAAGAGGATGACCAAACCACCATTCATCCTGAAGACACTCTAATTGCTGGGAAAAACGCAGACCTAAGCGTTCTGGTAGAGAAGAAGATGACTCTCGTCACTGCAGCGTGCAGGCCTGCACCTTTGGCCGCTCAGCCGCCTGGCTGATCTCTGCTTGGGGAAGAAGCTAAAATATCTGAAAGCCCGTGGGATGTGTGGTAAGCCATGCTGAGGATCGCCCACCCGGGGTCTGTGCCGGTTCCACCCAGGGGTCTTTCTGGCTGCTGTCACGTTGTGTTCCCTGTGCCGTAGAGGGGTATGAGATGCGCAGCGCATTTATGATACCTGACAATTGGCTGAATACTTGTGCCTGACAAATAAAGGGTGCTGGGGAAGGATGGTGAGATATTCCACGTCTGCTCACCTTCGGGGCACTGGTTCTTCTGCACGGTGCACCTCCGCACCTCTGTGGTGGCAGGACACAGGGACACGTCTCCGGATGGAGCCTGCAGAATCCGCCGTGTTCGGTCTTCATTGCCCTTCTTGAAGCCGCAGAGCTTCCTCTTCTTGGAGCAGGGCCCCCAGGGCCCCCACTCACTCATTTCACATTGTGCTGCCAGATAACAAGAGAGGCCAGCAGTAACTCTCGTTTCTCCGTTGCTGCCTCGGGATTCCCGGAGCCCTCGCACACCACCGCACCACTCCCCCACTTGCAGGCTGGAAGGGTACGTGGGTTTCCCCAGCAGCTCTCAAGGCACCCCCTTCCTCGCCATACCGCACAAACTGAGTCACGCTGCACAAGCACGCCGCAGCAATGCCGGGGTGCTGCTCCCCGTCTAGGCTGGTTTTCGGAGGGCTCAGCCCTCTGCAGGGCTGCGTCTGGCCTGTGCCGTCACCCACTTGACACGGGTACGACAAGCCATCGTCTCTGAGGGGCTCGTTTTATCATCTAAACCAAAGTGTGGCAATTCATGCGACTGGGCCTGACAGAGGCACAGAAAGCTCAGCGAAAGGTGCCCGAGCATCACTTACCAGGACTGCTGCACTCCATGGTGCCGTTGGCAGCAGAGTAGCCTTCGGGGCATGTGACGTAACACCTCCCTTTGTGCAAATACAAACCTTCCTTACATTTTGTGCAAAAGTTTCGACTGAAACAGGACTCACAGTTCTCAATTTTGCATTCTGGGGAAAAAAAAAACCAACACAAAGCCGTCATGTAGTCTGATGTGAGCAAAAGACTTGGGAAGCTCTTGACTGGTAACTGGAGTTTGATCCTGCCTCCAAGGGGTCTGCCAACAGCCAGGACGAGCCTCTTAACGTCCTGCCAGGCCTGGTTGTGCTACTCGGATAGAATCAGTCTGCTTTGCACCATTCCCTGGTACAGGACAGAGCCGCTGTGCTGCAGCTCTCATAGCCAGCAGCAGCTGCTGCCAGATCAAAATCGGGCAGGGTGGAAAAGGTTGGGGCTGGTGTTCAGCTTGAGCATCAGTCAGCCAGAGCAGGACAGCACAAAGCATAAAGTCCTGTATCAATGGCTCCAGCTGCAGCTACAGTATGGGCTGCAGAGAAACGGAGTTAGATGGAAGTCTGGCCACGAGGGCGATTTGCATGAAACTGCCAGGGAAGTGATCACATTTTTCCATGTCCAGCTTCTTTCTGGTGCTCTGGCTGAAAGAGGGAGCCCCAGGCCAAGGATCTCATTCAGAGAGCTGCTTGGCTGTGGTGAACGGGCAGAGGAGAGAAGAAAAGGTACTTGTGCAAGTAGCACCTTAAAAACTGAAAGGATCTCCCTCCTCCTCCTCCTTCCTCCCAAAGAAAGAGGGTGCCAGTCCGGCAGCCCAGGTAACAGAGCTTCCCAAATGTCCTGCCGGATGCCACATCCACAGCATTACCTGGGCGGTGCTGAGCGTGCTGTGACGGGGTAACCCAGCCCTGAAGCGTTTGCCAGTGGCCCTCTACTCTAATGGACCACTGGTCCATTGACCACCGCCTGCCTACAGCACAGAGAGACCCGCAGAGGCTCTCAAAGACCAGGAAGGCCAAAACTCAAGTCTAACCCTGCATGGAAGGGCTGGTGTGGGGCAGTGGATGCTTGCCCCGCCTCTGAGGCTGCCCCAGCCTCTGAGGGCACAGCGTGGGCAGTGTCTAGTGGCTGCTCAAAGGGAAGGAGCAGCTCAGCCTGGCTGCATGCTGCACCAAGGTGCGTTAGCCAACATCGGCATAGATTACGGGGTTATTCCCTGGGTAGATCACTGCCCTGCTCAGCACCTCCTTCTCCCCTTCGATGCAGCCACAGCATCTCCTCTCCCCTGACTGGAGGTGGCATGATCCCCTGCAAAGCTCCGCAAAGCACCACCACCCTCCTGCGTTTCGCCCGTTCCCTCCCACCGCCGTACTCACTGATGCACTTGTTCATGTCTGTATTGCGAAGGCCAAAGTATCCCAGTGGACAAGATGGTAGGCAAATCCCAATTTGCCGGATGTCATTCCTCTCCAGAAGGATGAAGAGTTTGGGGGAACATCTCAGGCACCCATTGAACTCAGAGCACAGGTCGCAGCCTCTGGCACACGGGCACAGCCCTGACTCAGCTCGGTGCTAACTGGAAGAGCAGAGAGAGGGAGCGGTTAGCGCCCGCCTGCACGGCCAGGCTCTGCACGCACCAGCTTCGTCCCCAAAACACCGGCACCACGGGGCAGGAGGGGCAGGACCAAGGGCT